TCGAACGGCCTATGATAAATGAACTAGTTCATGTATCGGGATTATTGAATAGTTTAATTGAACTTGTTCAAGACAAGGCTGTACCTTTTGCGTTTTGCATTCTTTGTCAAAACTGTGAGGAAAAAGTATAGTTTTCGCTGAAATATCTTATAATATCAAACTGTACGAAGCTGATAGTCTATTAATGGCATGTAAATAAAAGTTTGAAGTTGAAAAACTCAATCAGCATAGGCGTATATACGTGCAAATATATAATTGAAATTGTGAAATTCGACACAGCTTCAGCCCATAAAGAGAAACCCCTACAAAACGAACAAAAGGACAACTATAATGTAAGTAAATTCACAATATATTCATTTAAGTATTATAGACACATATTGCATTAAAAATGCACTGTAACATTTGTGTATCCATCAATGAGTCAATATTGTTGTTGTTGTGGAAACCGTGTATATAATTAGAATACATCCGCGCATGCCACACATGAACTCATTTCCATATATATATAACAGTGTGTATGGGTGTGTGTGTGAGTATGCGTGTGGGAAGGCAGATATATACAAGAAATTATATCCGTATTTATAATTAATATAGTATATCCTCGCAGAGAATATCTTCGATCATATAAATGCTTTATCATTAGCGGTCGAGTCGATATAGCTTTCTCTCTGCAGAGAAACCATTGGGAAGATTGGAATATTACATCCCATATCCACAATCGTCCGATAAATTGCGAATCTACTATATTATTCTCTGAAGGAAATTACATCCGTTGCAGATGGCTTTTATTGTAACAATTTAGCTGTGACATCTGGCGTTTTCTTTGGTTGTTAATCTCCTTTTTTATGGCGGATTATTTGCCTGCTGCTGGGATTAGCCTACCTGTCCACACATTATTTTAGTACCTGAAATGCAGTTTTAGGCGTATAAAACTAACCAACTTTTGGGTCTTCACTTACAGTTGCAAACCAAGTTTCAACGCACGCACATCCAGACACAGTTCAACTGTGGCCACAGTCAAAGCTCAAGGCAAGCAAAAGGAGGAGGACTCGTCTAACAAGATTCAAGAACAAAATCAAGAGCACATCAATTGAATATTTAAAATGGTGCAGACTGGCATATCGCTAAACGAGCGTTTCACTCAAATGCAATCTCGCCAGCAACAGCCGCCGGCAGCGGCACGCGGACGTCGCAGCCGCTCGCGCAGCCGCAGTCGTCGTATTGTGGACGCAGCCGCATCGGTGGCCAATTCGCGGCTGCTGCAGGAGTTCAAAAAGAAGCACACCGTGCAAGCGGCCCTCAAATTGAAGCGCGTACGTGTCTTAACAAAAAACAAAACAAAAAACCACCACAGTAATTACTCTGGGATTGAGGCCATGAACTGACTGAACAAATGACAAACGCAAGCGTTTAAACGTATCCCATGCCGTTCTGTGTGGCTGGGCAAGGCAATAAAAAAAATGGCAAAGAGCAGCAAATGAGCAGATGAGCAGCGTCAGCAAAGGATTTGTGCATGCTGCTTAATAGAGCACTAGATACAGACAGCCTGTTTTCATAGCTAGCGAGCAACTGTGCCCAGCCCAGCCAAGTTCAGAGCAGAGCAGTCAAGATCAGCCCAGAATACAGAAATAGACCTCAATATAAATAAACCCACTTGTAGTAGACTTCTATTGAATTCACACACACTGAACCGCTAGCGCTTGAGCAGCGTCAAGTCGAATTCAATTTGTAAACGCAAAACAAAAAATCCATCACAAACCTTATGCATCTTACAGAGAAGCTTGCGGACAACTGCTGGCGGCGCCAGCGCACGCCTTGGCGGCATCAAAGCGCTCCGCCTGGGAGCCAATGGAAAGCCCGTGCGCTCAAACAACGGCACTCGCCTGGCAACGTAAGCATCCCCAATAAACCAAACACACACTTGTAGCTGTTGTTGACTGATTCAGATTCAGTCCAAGTCGGAAGATTGCTTGCGAGCAGCTTTTGAATCAAAGTGCCAAGTGCTACAACAACATATGTAAAACACATCTATCTTCTGCTTATTCCGCCTCTACAACTTCAATCACATAAATAGCATGCGCGCCGATCTGATTGCCAACAACAACAACGGACGTGCACGCCGCAGCAGCAGCAGCGCCCGACGCTCTAGCGCGGCGGTCGGTGGATTGGGCCAGCGTCTGGGGCTGCGCCGACCCGTTGTGGGCGGCGCAGCAGAGCGTGTGGCTCAACGTCGGCGTGGCTTATCTCGCCAGCGGCAGCAGCAGCAGCAGCCCTTTCCACAAATACAGTCGCGCGGTCGTTCACGCAGTCGTGGACGCGCCCGTTCACTAAGTCGCGGACGCGATCAGAGCCGTGGACGTTCCCAAAGCGCCGGTCGTACCCAGAGCCGTGGACGCCGTCAGCTGTCGGCTAACGGTGGAAGAGGCGTTAGTACCGGTGGCGGCGGCGGACGTGCACCGGGTCGTGTTTCAGTTAAGCAACGTCTGGGCGTGCGTCCTGGCGTGGCAGCAGCAGCAGCCGCAGCTGCAAAAGGAGCAGCCAATAAGCGACGTGGCAATCGTCGTGGCAACAGCCAGCTGCGCGGCGTCACAGCCGGACGCATCGAGAAGCGTCGCGATTCGAACACTGCGCAGAAGACAGTAAAAGCTGCTGCTGGTGGACGCGGACGCAAAGGTCGTGCACGTGGAAGGTAAGTTCCATTTGCTGCTTTATTTACCCAAGAATGCATTGGTATATTAACTCTTGTTTTCTAATTCAGATCTGCTGTACGTGTCGCTGCTGCTGCTGTCGGTGCTGCTTCTGCTGCCACGCATATCTCGCGTTCCCGGTCACGCTCACGATCTCGGGCACGCCAGGGAAAGGTTGCTGCTGGCGCTGCTGCTTCATCAAATGGAAGGCAAAAGGGAGCCGGTCCTGTCGGCGCACGTCGTCGCGGACGCAGCCTACAACGCACAGGTGGCACAGTGGCCAGGGGCGCCAATAGAAATGGTAACAAGAAGAAGAACAACAGCACTGAGGGTGTCAAACCAAACCAACTACAACAGGGTCGTCGCGGACGTAGTCGTGGTCGTGGTGGTCGCACGGTTGCAGGTAAAAGCGTTACAAGCACAGCTCACCGGACATCTGGCTGGACGAGAGCGCCTAGTGACTCAACATGGAATTTATTATACTGCTGTGCCCGAAAACTGCCGTATTAATCCTTGGTTATTCTTCTTGTCCTTCTCTCAACCTAGGTAAGCCGCAGCGTAGGGAAGTAAAGCGCGAGGATTTGGACAATGAGCTGGATCAGTACATGTCAACCACAAAATCAGAAATGGACTTTTTGCTAAAGTAAGGCAGGACGCGACGATCAAGGAGAATTACCACCGCAAGGCAGTTTTTACTAATTCTTAAGTTGTGTACTAATTAACTTTAAGCGTCCCAAATAACAAATACCACCGGAAAGGTGTGTTTATGCTCTTTAGTTCGCGCTAATGAGGCATTCTGTAAATAGCATAACCTATAAGTAAACGACTTTGCATAATTACAATCGAAATATTTGTATAATAGCAACAAAATACAATTGACTCCTTGTTCAAACTACATGCTGCGGGTGTGTGCTCTATCAATATGTGTGTATTTCTGAATTATTTGTCTAGCGAGTGTGTGTGTGTGTGTGTGTGTGTGTGCATTACGTTTTTCCAGAATATACACGCGTTCTTGCCAAGTGCCGGAAATTGACTTTTGTGCGATTGTGTTTACTTGTCTGTATAATAAGAAAAATAGAAAAATGCGAATTTCTCAAAAACTGGCTGGACGAATTTCTTGATGTAAAAAGCAAAATGATTAATAATTCGCGATCAATATCGGAAAATATAATAATAAAGGTTGAAATATTGCCACCTTTTCGTTTTTATACGTGTATAAATACTTAAATGCATAGTTGTCGTCTTTGCAGCAGTCTATTTTACCAAAGATAATGTTTTATTGTAAAATGACAATTATTTCATATATTACTGCATTTCTCTTCCATATACAAGTATTTTGAATTAATTTTTTCCCGCTCAATACTGTATAACATTGCTCAACACTGATTCCGACCAGTGGTTCGGTTCCCGTTGGAGCTAGTAGCTCGATAGGCCTTTTGAATGAACAACATGAGGTGTGTTTACATTTTGCTATTTTTCTAAAAAACTGGCTGATCGATTTGTTTAGAATTAATGCGTAAAGCTTTCTTAAACATGTATCTTCAAGTTGGTATACCGTGCATTGAGGGCCATTATCCCTGAGAAAAGATATTAGTGTTCAAGTGCAAGGGTGATTTTTTACGGTCATTTTGTATGGGGCTAGCAACGAGGTTGCTGCACTCTAGTACAAATATCTTAAAAACGTGCTGATCGATTTTTATAATTTTTTCAAGATTGGTTAGGTGAAACTATAGACTTCAATCGTGTATATGCGGTTTTCGGGACCATTATCCCTGAATTAAGATATTTAAAGAATGGTGAAAACCTAACTTTTCAACCCCCTTTACCCATATTATAAATTAAAATTAAAAAAAAAAAATGAATGTAGATAGTAAATAATTGAATTTTTTGCAATTCTGCATTTAAATTTATTTGGTTTCGTGCTTAAAAACATAAATAAATGCATTTGAAAGTGACCGATACTTTTCCGATAACAAGTACCAAAATTAGACGCTAAGTCACCGCCGCTAATTTGACGCACATCACTTTCGATAGTGCCACCAGTGATAATATAAATACCATCGAATTTCGATAGAACTATCGATGTTTTCAGACGCTAACGTCCGTCATTGTCCACATCATAGATTCCTAAATTTTTGAATTAAGTTTGTTTATCTACAGATATTATAAACATGAGAAGATGTACCTGATTCACACAACGGATTCTACGCTCGATCAACAAGTCCAATTTCATTGTGTCCTTATATTTAACAGGGTACCTTAAATGGCATCTACCTCGAATTAGCAATTGTATAAAAACTCAAAGAAACCAAGTTAGCAATTAATATTTGTATTGATAATATCGTAAGTCGTCAAAAATAAAGAAGAACATGTCGCACTAGACGTTCGTGTTGTCAAACTTTCTCTTTGCACATTGCTCAAATGGATAAATACTTTTCATACTTAATGAATACAATTAACAAATATACTGTTGATTGGTTGGGCTTAATATAACGCGTATTGTTATTGAAAATTTGTTTCAAACTGTTTGCCTTAACTTAAGATGTTGCATGGGCGCAATTATTGGAAAACAAAATTCGGCTATTAGGTCAGCAATCCACATAGATTACACCGGCGTCTAGGGTCCATGATAAAATGTTACATACAGCATGTTGTTGGCATTAAAATCTTCTATTGCCGCTCATATTATGCGCTGGCCTGGGTCCATTGAACCTGCGTAAATCGTTTCTATTATAGCATCAATTATGTATTGATGAATACAAGTTTCAGCTTACCGATTCCTATTTACAGGCACACCCCCGCTACCATGACTACCCCCCAGGGGCGGAAAATCCGATTGATATGCATTTGCTGCGTTGTGAGTGTGCCCGTTTGCGGGTCCATGTTTGTTAAAGTTTTGCGACATGCTGCTGCTCGGCCCGTTCGGTCCACCACCACGTCGAGCACTGAATCCACCACGGCCAGCAAAGCCGCCACGGTTGGCGTTAAATCCACCACGGCCGTTTTGCGTGCTGCCACTGTAAAAGTTAATAAATAATTTTAGTCAAACTTTATAGAAAACTATGTGTCCAGTGCTGCGATTGAGCTATTTTAGAATTATTGGCAGCATAAATTAGTTGACCATTTTATTCGACACCCCTGTTATTGCCAGGAATTATTGGAATAAGCTTCTTTTTATAAGCAGCAGCTGGCATGCGCCTTACCTGTTAATGCCAGAATTGTGGCGATTCCGCTGGTACATGCCACCATCGGCATTATTCCCGCTCGGCACCATTGTGCCGTTGCCAAAGCGACTTTGCTTTGCTCCGAACGACAGCTGCTGCTGCTGCTGGTGCTGATGCTCCACGGCGGGCAGGGCAAAGCCGCGACGATCTTGGCCAATGTTGTTTGATGGTCCATGGCTGCCGCCGCTTCGGTGAGCGCCAGCAGCGCCGGCAGAACCAATATTGCCAGCATAGAAATCATTGTGACCCATTTGGCCCAGGCCTTGGTTAAATTTGTTTTTGTAAGGTTGTGCGGGCCCGTCAAAGTTCTGCTTCTGCTGCGGCAGGACCTTGCTGTAGGGCGCATTGCGCTGCTGTCTAAAGTTGCCTTCATTTCGCATTGGTCCAAACTGACTGTCGTTCGAGTTTAATGATCGGTTGCCGCCACCTGCTCTAAAATTGTTGCCACCAGTGTGGCCGCCACCACGATTGAAGCTACCGCCGCCGTGTCCTAAAATTGAACATAGTTGTTATTCCCCATTGATTTAGTGCGTAAATTGCTTACCTTGTTGCATGGGTCTTCTGTTGCCGGCACCTCCCCCACCCCCTCCTCCACCAACACCTCCGCCACCGCCACGTCTGTCTTTGGGCCTGCCCGGTTCGACGACAATGGTCTGACCTTTGAATTCAATGCCATTTAGAGCGGCAATCGCTTCCTCTGCCATTTCAATGGTCTCCAAGTGCACAAATCCGCACCTGTTCATAATATCGCATTCGACTACCACGCCATAATTTGTGAACAAATGTCGCAGCTCCTCGGGCTTGCAGCCAGGCGGCAGGCTGCCCACAAAGACTTTGGCGGTCTGAAGAGCAATTAAATACAAATTGAGCACACCTCGTGATTTGGTAACATCAGAAGGATAATACTTACAGACATATAGATTGGTACTTGTCTCGCTTTGTTTTTTTTTTTCGCGTGCACTTTTATTTTCTATTTCGTGTGTGCAAAACGCACAATAGCGATGAATGCGATGAAAACAAACTCAGTTACTATCGATGTATCGATAGTATAGAATCGAGTATCTATTTACATATTTTTGTAGTAAATGTGGGCGCCGAGCACTGAAACATATTTTGCTAGCATAGAATACAGTGATTTTGTAACATTAATGGGATAATACTGACATATAGATTGGTACTTGTCTCGTTTTGTTTCTTTTTTTCGCCTGCACTTGTATTTTCTATTTCGCGACCGATGAGTGCGATGAAAGGACACTCAGTTCCTATCGATCATAAAATATCGAGTACAGTTGTATTTGTTTACACTTTTTTGTAATAAATATATTTTAAAGAATGTGGGCGCCAAGCACTGAAGAAACGTATTTTGCCAGCATGGACTACACAAAAAACGTTGTAAACATAATGCCCAGCGCAGAAATGCTGGTCACCTTCAACGGGGGGGACAGGGACATGATGCACGCTAAGAAAGCTTGTTTACTGTACGCCGAAAGAGTTGACTTCAAGGAGCTGATTGTAAGCTTGAAAAGAAGCCCAATTTTAAATATTCTAATTTACATGTTACACATGTCCCACAGCAATTGCGTTTGGCCGAGAAGTGCGATCAGCGACGCATGTACATCACCACGGTGGACAGCGTATCCTTCCAAGAGCTGAAACAGGATCAATCGCTAAATGTCACATTCGCTGGATTTATGGAAAATGTGATACGCATGCTGAAAGACTGCCAGGCCGGCAAGCTGGAGCTGTGCCTGTCTGCCAAGGAAACAGCTGCCAGCACAGCTGAGCACCAGAGTCACGACTACCATCTGCAGTTCGTGGAAATACGCGCCTTCAAGAATCTGGTGCATTTGTGTCTGCCCTGTCGTTCCGCGCCGCTGCACACGGTTCTCTTCTACATCAACACAACGCTAGATGCGGCTCACAAGAAGCTTTATTTGCTAGAGCAGAACATGCAGCAGCTGCAAATGGAATTGAATTCCCAAAACGCGCACATCGAACAGCTAAGCTCGGACAATGGCAAATTACGCGAAGCGCTGGCCGAGAATACACGGCACCTGGGCGAAAAGCACTCTGCCGAACTGCAACATATGCAGGATAAGCTGGAGAAGCTAAACGAGCAGAGAGCCAATGAGCTGGAGCGCAGCCGCCGCTCGATTGCCGGACTGCAGACGCAATTGGAGCGCGCGACGCTGGACAAGACGGAGCTGAAGACAATGCATGAGCAGACCGAGAAGCGCAACCAGAGCCTCAACGAGGAGCTCACCTGCTGTAAATCGCGTATCTGCAACCTCAAGGAGCAAAACGAGAAGCTGCACACCGAGCTAACAGCTGCAAAGAAGCAAGAACGCAAACTAGAATATAAAATAGAAGACTTAAAACAGCACACAATGGAGCTGCAGGAGCACATACAGAAGGGCAACAAGGAAAAGGTGGGTGTGTCTCTCTTAACTATTTATTTAAGCCAAACACTTGACATATTTCAAGCTATAGGCAAACATTGCAGCCGAACTGGAGGCAGAGAAGAAGATACTCCATACCAAGCGGCAGGCACTGGAAATGGCCTCCGATGAAATAGCCAAAGCGAATCAAATAATACTCAAGCAATCGCAGGAGCTGCTCAACCAGAAGAAAACAATTTCGTGGCGCACTGAAGTGGCGCTGCAGCAGGAGAAGGCGATCAAAGAAAAGGAGAAGCTGCTGACCATGCGCGACGAGGAACTGAAGCAAACCCGACAAACCATCCAACAGCTGCGCGAAGAAATTCCACAACAGCTGCAGTCGATGCGGCACTTTGCTCAGGGCCTGGAGGAGAAGTACAAGAATCGTAAGTGCATCATATTTAACCAATTAAAGTTTCAGACTAAGTCTCTGTTATTCCGTTAGAAATTCTCACGCTGAAGGCGCACTTGGAAGCGGCAAGCGGCAAGGAAAACTGCAGCCGCAGAGCGAATCGCAAATAGGCCTACATTTAGTTAGCATTATTGTGTATTGTATAAATAATTTGCATTGTTAGTTAACTGTTTTATCGTAGCTTTAATTAAACTTATTTATCTATTTGTGGGCTATTCGAAATCTTCATCCGGATTTCTGCCTTGTTGCACGTGCGCCGTGGCGACATTCACAACTTGGCTAATGTCTTCGAACTGATTCATTTTCAGCCTCTCGCGTATTAGTTCCGCAATGGCCTTCTGTGTGCGCCGCTCCAGACGCTCCAGTTTTTTGCTAACGTCCCGCTTAAGATCCCAGTCCGGCTTGCGCGGCGCCAGATTCGTGATGTCTATCTCATCGATGACCATGGGCTGCTGCAGCAGGCTGAGCTGGCACTGGACGGCGGATTCGATGTCTCCGGTGGGCTCTTGTGGCAGTACTTCACCTTCTGTATTTTCATTTTGTGGTTTATAGCTACGAAAAACTGGCCTAAAGTGTTCAAATGTTTTATTCCCATGCAAACAGTGTGAAAAATGTCGCATCTCACCTGGGCAATTTCTCGGCAGCCCCCGTAATGCTGGCACCTTTTGATTGGGCTTGTTCGCGCAGCTTCTGCAAGCGCTCCTTGCGTTTTAGAGACTCCTCTGTAAGCTTGCCCAAATTGTTGTCATTGTTGGCCATTATTAAGCAAAGTAAATAAAGCTAAAATATGCGCTCGCCAATTGCTGCCTTTTATATCGATACAAATATGACGAAAACGAATAGCGGTTGTTTTTTTGTATTTTATCGATTTTAAGAAATATCGATAGAGACGTAAAAATTGCATATTCATTAAATATAGTGATATTCAAAAATCAAATATTTTTGATAAAACGTTGACAAAAGTTGGTTAAAACAGCGTATAAGCATGAAAAATATTGCTTATGAGCCACGCAAACATTTGTCATTTGCATGACGATAGCTATTCGATAGCAACTTATCGATAGGTGCACAACTGAATTGGATACATAAACATTGCAAGTTGGCAGCACATTTTCAAGGTATAAGTGTGAGGGGAGGATAAAAACAACGCAAAATTTTACTTGTAAACCAAAAAAAAAAAAACAACAAACATATGTTGTGAAACTGTTATAATTATATTTGCCAAATTGAAAACCAAATAAGAGCCTCAAATTGCTGTTGCCTTTGACCCAACATGCAGCAAATATATAAACACAATTAATAATAATGTGGCAGCTGCTGTTGCAACTGTTTTGGAGTAACAAAAATTAGCTGCTGCTGCTGCTGGCGAGCGCTGCAGGTAAAAAACTCTTTGGCTATTTAAAAACTATTTTTATGTATTACAACGCCTCGGCGCGCGCAATTACAATGTATGCAAGCGTGTGCTAATTTAAGTTGGTTTTTGATTAAAGGGAGCCGCCGCCGCCGTCGACGTCGCCAACAATACAACGGACGATCGCCAACTAACTGCAGCGGCATCCGCCTCGTCGAGCTCATTGTTCTGTGACTGTGACATCGTTTATTCCTCGCCCGCTTGCCTGCTGCCCGGCCCGGACCCAGAGGCAGCTGCAGCTGTAGGCTAAAAATGGAGTGGACCAGAGAGAAGACGTTGCTGCTGATCAGCGAGTACCGACAGCGGCGCGGACTGTGGGATATGACATGTGACGAGTATCGCAAGAAGGATGTCAAGCAGCGACTCTTGAACGAAGTGAGCGACGTGCTCGGCGGCAATATACCCATACCGGAGCTGGAGAAAAAGTTTCACACGCTGCGCACGCAATATCATCGCGAAATCAATCGCATGAATCGCAAGGAGCCCTACAATTCAAAGTGGTTTGGCTTTAAGAATCTCGCCTTTCTCAGCTTACCCTTTGCCTGCCGCTCCACCAAAGGCCGTTCCAAAGAGGATCCCTCAGCACACAAATACATATTGGGCGAGGTCAACACATCAGCAGCAGCAGCCGCCGGCTCAGCGGAGGGCAATAATATGAACGACGAGTATATGATTACGTCGCGCAAGTCGCATGCCAGCAGCCGGGCGCAGGAGCTGGAGAAGCTTATCGAGGAGACGACCAAAGATGTAGAAGATATTGACGACGATGAGCCGGGCGTCGAAGAGGACGTCGATACAAAGCCCAAGCTGAGCAAAGAGCTGAGCGGCACGTATGTGCACATCAACGAGGATGAGCACGAGCCACTCGAGACGCACCCACACCATCAGCCGCAGCAACAGCCACAGCATACCCATCAGCCGTCCATGATGGAGCTGCACCACTCTGGGAACGCTGTGGAGGCCGTCAGTTTTCAGGCCAGCGAAAGCGGCGAACTGCACTACCAAACCACAACGACATCCGGCAATAGCGGCAATAGCTCCTCCGTGCATGTGGTGCCCACGCGCATTATAAAAATACAAAGGCGTGACACGTCCAACCAGGAGAACGGCTACTTCGAGGAGCAGTCCACACAGCATCAGCTGCATCCGCCGCCGCCCAAGCGACTCTACTTCGATCCCAATGGCACGCACAGCACCACAATACTCTCCACCTCCACGCTGGCAGCGGCCACCCAGAACGGCAACGGCAGCAATGTGCTGACCACGACAGCCGGCACGGCCGTAGCCGGCGGCACACTTCGTCTGCCACGTGTCAATGCCATAGTCAACACGCAGTCGCTGTCGCCACCCAAGCCGGCCAGCTCACCCATACCTCCGCCCGCTGTCGTCAGTTCGCAACGCGACGAGTTCTCCACTTACGGCGAATACGTGGCCAACGAGATGCGTGCCATTGGCAACAGGGGGGTGCTGATCGCGCTGAAGCACAAAATCAATACGGCCATCTTTGAGGCGAATATGGCGGAGCTGCAGAAATGAAATTGAAATGGAAAATGGGAAAATAATCAAATATGCAGACGAGTTTTTAGCAAGAATTTATATTAAGTTTCCACTTTAATAGCGAAAATCGCAATCCCCCAGTAATTACAATTGTAAAGCTTTCGTGTTTTTATCTCTGTGTTTCAAACTGTAAATTGACATTAATTCACAAAATATAATATGTATGTAACAATTTGATTAAATAAGCCAAATATAACATTTAGTAGAATCCGAATATCTGTATATATAAACAAGAGTTTGACCTGAGAGAGAATTATATATCCAAGTAGGCGATTTGTATTTGTATCTCAATCAATGTAAGAGGGGGTATTAGATAAATTCTTGTTTCTTTTGTTTTTTGTTTTTTTTTTTGAAATTTCGGTAAAATGAATACGAATCCAATTTGCGAACCGTTTACAAATTTACCCGTCAGAGTAGATATTGAGAAACTGGCAGCCGAATTTAAGCCCAAGGATAAGGAAAAAGGTGTCGAGAAATCGAAAAGTCCACGTGATTTTCTCAATATTCCCGACAAGAATTGGGTGGTATTGCCCATGTTTAAATATCATTTGGATCATTTAAAGCCATTTCTCTCGCTACGCACCAATCCATATATGCGTTGCCGTTACGTAAAGTTTCTAAACAATGTGCCTGAGAACTATGTAAACGTTACTTTATTCAGTTCAAACATTGACAAGTATTTATGTTATTTGAAATTAATAAAAAAAAAGAGATGTACTAATATATATAATTTAGTCAGCCAAAGCCACGAAGAAAATCGCTTAATGGACAATTTTACGGCGTGGACTATAAATTGGCGCCAATACCAGTTTCAGCGGATCCACGTAGTTACGCGGGCTCAAGATCGGTCAAATCAAAACATACTTCCAAGTAGCCATTCGAAAATCTTAAATTTGCCGCTCTACCCTGTTATTGTTATCGACTGTAAATGTCATCGAACAGATACAGACTGGAGTTATCGGCAAATAATGGGCAACCCTAACGGCAGCAGACGCATTTGGCAACACTGTTCGATCAATTGGGACGAAAAATGTTTACAAAATGCATTAATTGTTGTGCTCCAATAATTATTTGTGTAATATTTACATGCCTTTTGGTCGAAAACTGTGGCAAGTACCGAGCTGAACATATACATACCATTATTTATTGAAATTACCATCCGCCTTGGCCAACAGTCGCCCTGAAACGCACGCTGCGCCACTACGAGGTTTTCCACAGAGATGATGTTGTACATCGGATTGTCAAGAGGGGCGTTAGGCAGAGCAATAATCCATACAACACCATCAAGGAGCTGGAGTTCAAAACACTTGGCAAAAACTTTCGCGTGATTTTACACCCACATCGCGATGTGCTCCACAGCAAGTTTCGTGCGTACGCCGTGGACGCCGATGGAAATGAAACTGTTGTCCACTTGGGTAAGTTATATAGTTGCTTTATATCAGTAAAAACTAACTTTTACTTTGTGCGCGCCCAGATCATGAGAACTTTTATACGGGTCGCGTCTTTGGCGAGTTGGAGTCGTCGGTGCGCGCACATATCGAGGATGGTACATTGACCATGTCCATTGAACTGCCCCAAGAAACCTACCACATAGAGCCTTCCTGGCGCCACTTGCCGACAGCCAAAAAGCATACAATGGTTGCCTACAAATCTTCCGATGTCAAACTCAATCACGCCGAACACGGTTCGGTGCCCAAGACTTGCGGCTATATCAAAGAGGGCCGCGAGCTTGAAGCCAAGGATGAGCTAATCGTTCGCGAAAAGCGTCAAGCGGATCAGTACGAGTACACGCCCACCAAAACGCGCTGTCCATTGTTACTGGTGGCCGACTATCGTTTCTTTCAGGAAATGGGCGGTGGCAACACAAAGACAACCATCAATTACCTGGTAAGAGGAGCATATCCCGTGGAAGCTATTGTCTCAATTGCCTTGCTTTCCTTTTTTCTCTTCAGATAAGCCTTATAGATCGTGTGCATAAAATCTATAATGATACAGTATGGCAGGATCGGTCCGACCAGGAGGGCTTCAAGGGCATGGGCTTTGTGATTAAGAAAATCGTTGTCCACTCGGAGCCGACACGTTTGCGCGGCGGCGAGGCCCACTACAATATGATACGCGAAAAATGGGATGTGCGCAATCTGCTTGAGGTGAGTCTTTGCCGCCTTCTGGGACACACGTTGATTAGTTGTCCAATGCCAGCTAGCTAAATCTTGTAAATCTTATTCTACTCCCAAACAAACTGCTAACTGTCTCTCGTCTCTTGCCAATTTATTCATGCATCATTTATGTAGGTCTTCTCACGGGAATACAGCCATAAAGACTTTTGCTTAGCTCATCTCTTTACCGATCTCAAATTCGAAGGTGGCATTTTAGGCTTGGCTTACGTTGGCTCCCCACGCCGCAATTCCGTGGGTGGCATCTGTACACCAGGTTGCTAATTCCCACACATTTAAACACAATTCAAACAAATCATGTTTTATCGTTATCATTTCGCTTACCCTTGTGTTTCCTTTCTGTTTCGTACCCGTCGTGTTCACTTTGTTTTTACTTTATACCCTTGCAGAGAATACTATTATTATTTGTCATTGGAATGTGTAAGGCAATATCTCCGATGCCATAAAGTATATATATATATTCTCGATCTGGACGAGAAACTAAGCTGATAACATATATGTATCAGTTTCTATGCAAACCCCAGAAAATAGTTCTTAATCCTTTAAAGGTTCTGAAATGATTTATTTCTAAATTTATAATTGTTCTTTTTTCCTACATATTTTCCTATTGAGCCTAGAAAATAGCTCTCAATCCCTTCCAGGTTTTGAAATGATTGAATTCTTAATTTATAATCTTCTATCCTACATATTTTCCTATAAAAGTTGTGGGATAAACTTGATCTCTAATAAATATTTGCAATAATCTACAAAATGAGCCCCAGATTATTTATACTTTGATTTATACTTGTTTGGCTCGAATCTCCTTTGAGAGTTGTCTTCGATATGAGATTTATTAATTAAATCCCAACGAAAACTATTTTATATTTGAATACATCGAGCTTTATCATAATTATAGAATTATTTCAAATATGTTCTTCATTTATGTCTGCAAGGGTTTTTATTTTTGCATGTTTATTTTCTAAGAATTATTACTGATTCGTCTCATTTGTTTAACTATCTCAAGAATACTTCAAAAATGGCTATACACTCTACTTGAACTCGGGCCTGAGCAGCTCGCGCAATCATTACGGCCAGCGTGTGATAACGCGCGAGGCCGATCTGGTGACTGCCCATGAGTTTGGACACAATTGGGGTTCGGAGCATGATCCCGATATACCCGAATGCTCACCTAGTGCCTCACAGGGTGGCAGTTTTCTAATGTACACCTATTCCGTAAGCGGTTACGATGTGAACAACAAGGTAAAATCATGCAGCTGATTATTAAATCATTTATAAATAATAGTTTTACTTGTAGAAATTTTCGCCCTGCTCCTTGCGTTCGATACGCAAAGTACTGCAGGCCAAGTCTGGCCGCTGCTTCTCGGAGCCTGAAGAATCCTTCTGTGGCAATTTACGTGTTGAGGGCGACGAGCAGTGCGATGCCGGCCTGCTGGGCACCGAGGACAACGACTCGTGCTGCGACAAGAACTGCAAGCTGCGCCGCAATCAGGGCGCCATGTGCAGCGACAAGAATTCGCCGTGCTGCCAGAACTGCCAGTTCATGCCGGCGGCCATGAAGTGCCGCGAAGCGCAGTATGCCACCTGTGAGCAGGAGGCGCGCTGCACGGGCTCGCATGCCGAGTGCCCCAAATCGCCGGCAATGGCCGATGGCACCATTTGCCAAGAGCGCGGCCAGTGTCGCAATGGCAAATGTGTGCCCTACTGCGAGACGCAGGGACTTCAGAGCTGCATGTGCGATATCATAGCCGACGCCTGCAAGCGCTGCTGCCGCATGAGCATCAACGAGACATGCTTCCCGGTGGAGCCGCCCGATGTGCTGCCCGACGGCACACCCTGCATAACAGGCTTCTGCAACAAGGTCTTCTACTTTGCACACTTTTATCCTATATCCAAAATCTATATGTATATATATTTGTATTCGTGTACAGGGCGTTTGCGAGAAGACAATACAGGATGTCGTCGAGCGTTTTTGGGACATTATCGAGGAGATAAATGTTGCCAAGACATTGCGCTTTCTCAAGGACAACATAGTCAGTAAGTAAAGAAAAGTATAAAGATCTTGGGGTACTTTATGGACAAACCTTGACGAGGATTATAAAACCTAGCCCTGTCAAGGCCGGGAAATATCTCTGAGTATAGCTTAATAATATTTTTTTCTCCTCTTGCAGTGGCCGTTGTGATGGTGACAGCCGTCTTCTGGATACCCGTCAGCTGCGCCATCTCATATTTTGATCGCAAGAAGCTGCGCCTTGAAATGAAACAAATCGAGTGGAGTCACAAACTAGATCTCATACATCCCAGTGACGACAGGCGTCGTGTTATACACATACGGTAGGATTAGCTCGAAGTCACAAATGGAATTGTACCTATATATAATATATATTATGTATTTGCAGTGTACCACGGCAGAAGATCTCAGTGGCGCGTGCTTGTAATTAGCATATAAAATCCGGGTGGCGGCCATTGTTTTATCTTCCGTGAGCATTCTTCTCAAAACTGCCACAATTATTTGATATTAAGTATAACATTTAATAATACATAATGAATAAAATTCCCGATAATATAGACCAATTCAAAGGGGCATTCAGCAACAGATTCTAGTCTGACAATTTAGAGCGATTTCTTGGATACAGATTTCAAATGGACGGTTAAATAATTATCTCTATCAATTATCTTTATCCGTGTATATTTCTCAATGTCTAGAAAAAACTTAAGCTTAGTTATGAATTAATTAATTGTGATTTGTATTGGATTGGTTTAGTTTATTCATACTTTAGCAAAAATATGTTTTTTTTTTTCGGAGTTTCTTCTACTGCATACTGTTAATAATTATGATTGATTTTTTTTTTCTTTAATTCTGTTTGTAGATTAGCTTACTGGAGGTGTGTGTTTCACATTGTATTACTTCTTTTTTATGCTCTTGCCATTTGTCTGTGGAGAGCAATCGTCATCAAGCTCCAATTCACTGTCATCCTCGTCGTCCGAATACTCCTCGTACATTTGCCCGTCGTCGTATTCACCCAGGTTCATCTCCGCCTGCAGAGAAATGTGTGGAAATTGTAGATTTGATCAATTTTTTGAGAGGCGCATAATTTACCTTGCCGCAGACATAGACCGGCCCCGTGCCCTGGACCAGTTTGAATGTGACGGAGCCATTGGGGAATTCAACATTTGGCCTCAAGCTGCGAGTTTCGCCAACCTTTAGGACCGCAATGGGAATTTTGACTGTCTTCTTCTCGCCGTCATCGTGCACGTTGGTTTCCGCCTGCAATTGTGCGAGTAATTTGTTATGCGATAGGTGTACTAATAGACCCCAGCCACAACCCCAACCCCTCGACTAATCCCTTGACCAAGTGCTTGTCGGTATTTTTCCACTTGAAAATTGTTTATGTACATACCTGTACAACATTGAATTCACCAGATTTTGCCTCGGGTCCAAGTGATATCTGTTTAATGATCAGCTTGTGTGAGTGTACTATGTACTCCTCTGGTATTTCCGGCACATCAAACTGTGCAATTGGCTCTTTTTCGCTCAGCGTAACACCTGAAATGGGGGCATAATTGTTAATATTGCCGTTATTAATAAATATAGTTAGCCGGCGTTGCCGTAAAAGCAGACACTTGTATCCTGTACTGCCCGTGCAAGACTCAACAATGTTGGTTGCTGCTCACCATAAAAAGATTCGGACTCCATTTGTATGCTCGAGGAAACGCTCTTGTACAGTCCAATTAAAGAGTTTATGAAAACTTGTACTTTTCACACGTGCCCGTACAATGGCGATAGCTGAAGAGACAAATGCGGTAGAAATGATGCTAGACATTCATCGATGATACCGATATATTCAACCGCCGATAGTTCTTGACAATTAACAATATGAAAAGAAATGAAAACTTTAACAACATAAACGTTTCAAGCGAATGATAAGCATACGTGGAATAAATGTACATATCTTAGCTTTAATTTTACACCCATTTAATAATAAATCGTAAACGATTATTGGATTCGCAATTAATGTCGTTACATCTGGTAACGCCATGCGTGCATGGCCAACACATCACTAACTTGCGTTGCATCCCTAGTTGGTAGCTACCATTTTGCAAAAGTTTTTGCTCAACACGTGCTCGGCGCTTGAATTTTAGATTTAAAACTATATCAAATAATTGCGATGGCAGAGGAATCATTCTATGGTAAGTACCATTTTTTGGCGCGCCATTTGTGCACTGTGGGAGCGACAGGAAATGGGTTTATTTGCAGTGCGCTGGCCGTGCGCCGGCTGCCGGCATTTTTATTCAAGGTTGCGTGTGCCTGTATGTGCGTACATAGTGTGCATACACAAGCATACAATATATCTGTGTGGTTAAGCGTATAAGTGATTGTATTTTTATTTTATCAATTCACAACTAATACGTTTAATTTTCAGGTGTTACCCTAACCGCAGAAAACAACAGCGTCACCTGGGACGTTGTTGCCGATGAGGATTATGCACGAGGCCAGAAGCTGGTCATCAAGCAAATCCTGCTGGGCGCCGAGGCAAAGGATAATGAGTTCAACGTGGTCGAGGTAAGTGCGCCAGTCAAGTTTGTCTGTTCGTCTGTGTACGCGCGCGTGTGTGTGTCTGTGCGTGCTGTAGTGTGTGTGCAAAACTCTTATTGTCGCCTGGGCATGGACCGGTTTGCATTCTCCAAGCACGCGCAAGGGTAATTTTGTCTGTATCTGCAGTACGCGCCCTTTGTCTGTTACCGCCGCTGCTCTTCTGTGTGCATATATGTGACGTCACAAAATGCCCAACAGTCTGCTTTACATATGCTAAAGCTTAAAATACGCCAGACAAGCAAATATGCCAAAACGAACCAAAGTAAAAATCGTTGTTTAATTTTTTTTATTGTAATTCTATGTATACATAAATTGACAGACATTATAATTATGTTTAAATAAAGCTTTCATTAGCTCTATAAGAACCGACGTTAACGAAAAACTGTTAGGGTGGAGTGTAGGACAGCATATGCTGCTGCTCTCTTTAGACACATTTAGTAAATCAAACCCCTAACCACGTCTCAAATAGGCTGTAGCGCTTAATACAGGGTATCTACGCGGCGACTACTCGCGAGCCATACACTTATTTAACTGTACTAAGCAAAACAGTTTTATTGACTCAAGTCGCATGCAATTTGATCGCAGTTATTGTTGCCACCGTCTGCTATCATTTCTAATAGCTCCGTAAAGCTTTTCGTAAACCAGAACATGCTGCGTGCCTTCCTTTGCAGCCGGCAGACAACGCCTGCCGCCCCAATATTCCAATTCCAGCAGATGAGCTCGCACTGCAACAGCTGCAGATCATCTCGCAAAGAGATTAAATTCTGTGCGAAAAAAAAGGCAAATTATATGTGAAATATGTCTGATGTGCCCAAAGTTTCATTGTTAAAAATGGCAAACAAAAAAAAAAAAAGAGCTGAATAAACAGGCCTGTCATCAAAATACCAAAAAGTAGCTATATTAGTTTAAAAACTCTGTATCCAACACTGGCTTGGAATGTCAACTGTAACCAACCCAATTGGCAACTCTGGTGCGTGGATGTACTTACCAGCGCCACGGTCGCATCAATTGAGCGAATCTCCGGGCCTTTAATGATCAATAGTCTAACCGTGTCTGTTTGCTCCGTCACGTGAGCGACAGTTGTCGTTTTCAAATATTCGGCAGCCGTGTAGTCCACGTCGCCCTTCAGCTCCGCCAGGCACAGCTCGAGGCCATTGTGCTATTTGGCAAGGCAAAAAAAATCAATTGAAATTATTGCAAAATGCCTCAAAATCATGCTCACCTTTTGCGTTTCGAGCTGAAACTGTGGTGTCATGCTTTTGCCCAGTATAAAGAGGGCGTTGATGGCCATGCCCACCAGCATGCCGTACTCCAGGGACCAAAACAAACAGCTGAAAGCGGTGGCCACAAAAGGCACCAAGTCGCGCTCTGTGTAGAAAGAAAAGAAAGAAGAAGAAACGGATTTGGCTTTATATGGTAGATGGATAAATGGGGGAACTTACTTTTGGCGCGCCAGATCTCGGCTATTGTGTCATACTCCACCATAAACAGCATAGCCGAGATAATGATGGCCGCCAGCGTAGCCTTGGGTATGTAGCCAAAGGTAGAGGTCAGAAAGGCCAGGGTCAGCAGTATCAGGATGCCGGTGAAGGCGCCGCCCAATGGCGTTCTCACACCGCTCGCATTGTTGATCGCCGAGCGGGCAAAGGAACCAGTTATGGGCATCGAGGAGAAGAAGCTGCTAAACAGATTACAAAAGCCCAGGGCAATCATTTCCTGCGAAGCGTCCACAATTTTGCCCTTGGCTGGAAGAGTATTAGCATTAAATGTATTTAAATAAGATAAAGGCTTGTAGGTTTACGCACAGAAAGCCTTCGCAATCGAGACGCACTCCAGTATGCTCAACAGGGGAATCGTTGCGACTGCTCCGCCCAAATGGGAGAGCATGTCTCCAAAGCTCAGGGGCTGACCTTCCGCGTCCACTGTGTGAAACGGCGGCGGACGAAAGGGCGGCAGACCCGGCGTGATTTCATCGCTGATCCGGAAGGGCAACTCCCCCGTGTCCCGGCTAAGCAGATAGCATAGCAGGATGCCAATGATAACGGCCAGCACGTTGCGGCACAGGGACAAATACTTGGTTAGCTGGCGGCAGCCACATGGCAGATCCTTCAGTTTCTACTCTCAGGATTAGGATTAGATTCATTTTATTGGCCTGCATTTGACTTACTCGCATGATCAGCAGCAGGATGAGCGTGCCGCAGCCGAGTATCGCATCGTTGCGGCGCGTCTCCTGAATGTGTCCGAAAAAGTTGATCCACGCGCTGAGAAACTCATTCGATTTGCTTTGTATGCCAAAGAGATTGTTAATCTGGCCGCTGCCCACAGTCAAAGCAGCGGCCAGTGTAAAACCCGCCGTAACTGGCACCGAAATGTAACGCACCAAAACGCCGAGATTCAGTAAGCCAAGCAGCAGGATTATGCAGCCGGAGAGGAAGCACATTAAGACGGCATAGTCCGGATTACCGCTGACATGCGGATAAATCATCATGGACATAATGGCCGTGGGACCTGGCAAACAGTTTAGATTAGCGACAGGCAGAGACAGCTTCCAATCCCAGCTAAGACTATCTGGAGCTTGATAAGTAAGCTTTTGTTCCATTCATTTTGCCAGCCACTCACCCACTGTGATATCCTTGCAGGTGCCGAATATTATGTACAGAAAGCAGCCCATAAATGATGAGTAGAGTCCGTAGACGGGCGGCAGTCCGGCGACGGCGCCATACGCAATGCCCTGCGTGACGGCCGTCAGGCCGACCGTCATGCCTGCCACAAAGTCGACTATTAGATATTTCGGCTTGTACCTGGGCAGCCAGCTGTAGACGGGTAGCATACGCTTGAGGGTCGATGTACTGCAACAGCTGCGCGCCTTGGCGCCCAATGCGCCGCACACATCGGGCAGGCGCTCGTGATAGAGTTCATCTGAGAGGGAAAAGGGGAGAAGAGTACTTAAGCTTGATTAAAAGCAACAAAATGATTAGCCAGCCTCTTATCTAGTTGTCAATGTTCTTATATTGCTTATTGCTTTTCACTTGAAGCGTGTTCTCAAGTGGAATGACAAGTTTTACCTTGTTGGGCGCTGGCTGCGTCACAAATTAAAGATCTCTACAGCTAGATATAGTATGCTTTCCATTTGGTATAGAAATGTTTTCGATGGGAATCATCTGTAGAATACCATTATTAACTTGTGGCTGAATCTCTAGAGCTAGATAAAGGTCTGCCTTATAATATCAACATGTTTTCGAATTTCTCAGATAGGAATCATCTGCAGAAAATATGTCCATAATTGATTTAGATTTAAAGAGATATATTCAATATTAACTAAGAAATATCTCTAATGATTAATAGATTAATCCTTGTTAAGTTTGATCATCTTTCAAAGACTCTCATTTGATTCCATAGAAAGTTGTTTATTATAATAACCATAATTGGAAATCTATCCCATTATGGGATTCACTTATCAATTATTGGCACGTACCGTCATAGTCGCACATGTCTGTGAATAATTCTTATTATTATTACTTTATTTTTTAACACTTCAAACTAGGTGGCTTTTATCTATGATTAACTTTTCGCCAACTTGTTAAACATAACACGTGCTTGTCGTTTTTTTTTCCGCTTAAGTGGGAAGACTTGAATATAAACTTCCGTTCGGATTTGTGGAGCAGAGCTTGTGATGTTGTCTCTCCGGCTGCAGCTCGCTGAATGGCCCGACCAGAAAGCATTAGCACACCTTTTTACGTTCCCGATTTCCCGCAGTTATCGCACTTTTTTTAGGTTTCTTTAAATGTTAACGTCGACACTTATGATAGTAAAGACAAGCATTAGACATAAATGGGACGGCTCCGATTAAAGATAACCTTTGGGACACATCGAAAATTTGTCGAAGATCAATAAGGGACAGCTCTGATTAAGGAGAACCTTTGTCGAAGATTAGCTTTGGGACAGATCGAAGATATGTCGAAGATAAATATGGGACAGCGCCGATTATTTTGGTCAAAATGTTCAAGCTGATCAGGAATATATGTATTATATATAATATGCTCGACAGGCTCGGATCGTAACATTAAATAATACCCTACGTATGGACGAATTGAAAGTTGATGTGGCGTCTCTTTAAGTTAATCCCCCAGTTCCGTTCAAGTTTTGTGATTTACTAAACATATATCTCGACAAATTTGCTGTTTATATTGTGCC